CCCGGGGGGGTTTGTCTTCGTCGCGGCCGCCGCTGCGAAAAAGTCTTGGCTTCCGGGGGTGAGGTTTGGAGGCAATCTCGTCGACCCTGAGTGGCTTGATGGATCGTAAGCTCTTGATTTTCTCCATTTTTTTTTTGCATTAATTTTATTGGTTTTTTTTTCTTTGTGATGGTAATGTAATTAATTTAGTACTTTTCTTAGCTTTGAAATTTTGGGTTTAATAGATGGAGCGAATGATGAATTGTGCATTATGGTCAAGTTTAGATGCAAAATTGTATCAGGACTCCTGATGCAATAATTCTCTCTTAGAGTGTGTTTGACCGTGTTTTTTAACCGGAGTTATCACCTCATTTAGTGAATCCAATCAAATGCTAAAATATAGTTCTCTGAATTTATGAATTTTCGGATTTAAGGTCTTGAATTTTGCTTTCTATTCAATTTAAAATTCGAATTTACTAAATCCTGATAATATTAAGTCCTACTTGCAGCCAAACACTCGTTAGTATATGCGATCGAAAGTTTATAAACTCTCCTCTCATGTTTTTGGCTTTGTTTAGTTTCAAATTGTCAGAAGGGATTAAATCAAGAGAAAAGGAAATTGATCTTCACCAACTTGTTTTGATTGCGGGGAAATTGTGTGAGTGTATTTTCTTATGTGGCAAAAAATGTGTTTTTGCACTAATGTGAAAGAGGTATGTCAGCCTTAAAGATAATTTTATAATTTTTGGTATTACTCACAAAATTTGAGAAAAAAATATCAATGAAGAACAAAGTGCTCATGCTATTTTTAGACGACATTTACTTTTATACTATGCAATTCTTAGGTATTTACATATCCAACACCCAAACTTTTATATTTACATACATCACATTCACATACAATTTTCATGTATTTACATATCTAACGTCTAATCAATCGTTCATAACAATCAAATCTAGTGACGTGAAAAGCGGGCCGGATATCAAACTGGAAGAAGAGGTTTAAAGTTTAATGTTAAACTAGAGTCGGACCAAATCATATGATAAATACTAAAATTATTTAAATATAGTTTAAATTATATAATAATAATAATAATATAATTCAAAATGAACTGTGTGAAAAAATATAAATCCAAATGAATTGTGTCATATGTATCAGTTCCTCCTACTTGTGAAAATGCGCTTATATATGATTATTTACCTTCGGCAGTCTTCCGGGTGACTACGGCTTCGATCCATTAGGCCTCGGCAAGAACCCCGCCTTCCTAAAATGGTACCGCGAGGCTGAGCTAATCCACGGCCGCTGGGCCATGGTTGCCGTCGTCGGCATCCTCGTCGGCCAAGCCTGGAGCGGCATCCCCTGGTACGAAGCCGGCGCCGCTCCCGGCGCCATCTCCCCCTTCTCCTTCGGCTCCCTCCTCGGCACCCAACTCCTCCTCATGGGCTGGGTCGAAAGCAAGCGCTGGGTCGACTACTTCAACCCCGACTCCCAATCCGTCGACTGGGCCACCCCTTGGTCTCGCTCCGCTGAGAACTTCGCCAACGCTACTGGAGAACAGGGCTACCCCGGCGGCAAGTTCTTTGATCCGCTCGGCTTCGCCGGCACCCTCAAGAATGGCGTCTACGTTCCCGACGCCGAGAAGCTCGAGCGGCTCAAGCTTGCGGAGATTAAACATGCTAGAATTGCGATGCTCGCGATGCTTACATTCTACTTTGAGGCGGGGCAGGGCAAGACGCCGCTTGGCGCTCTGGGATTGTGACTCTAGCATTTGGTCGAACGGTAGAATTGCGATGCTCGCGATGCTTACATTCTACTTCGAGGCGGGGCAGGGCAAGACGCCGCTTGGCGCGCTGGGATTGTGACTGCGGCATTTGGTCGAACGCGCATGTCTGTTCCCTTCCTCAGTTTATAAATGTGGTCTTTGAGTGCTGGCATGTCTGTTCCCTTCCTCAGTTTATAAATGTGGTGTCTTTGAGTGCTGTCTGATTGACTGGTTATTGGTTAATTAATTACTCTTTTGTGACTGGGGGATTACTGAGGGGATGGCATGTTCATTTTGTATAATATGATTTGTTCTGCGGCTGTTGCTATGCGATCAGATTTTTTAGGGACTTTTACATATATACCACCCAATTTTTATGTATTTTTTTTATCTAAAATCTAAGTTCTATTTTTTTACAGTTATATCACACATAATTTTCATATCACATAAAAAATGCGACTAATTTAAATTTTAAAAATGATATATATCTTTTCAATATATAAGCATTTGATGGTTAAGAAATAGATATGTAAATACATAAAAAATGAAAATTGAGTGGTATGGATGTGAATCTTTCAAAATTTGAATTTTTATAGCTTGGGAAGCGTTGCTGCAAAGAAAAATTTGTAGAGCTGGACTGGTAGTGGTAGCTGAAAGCCGAGAAAATAGTTGAGATAAAAGAGATTACAGTAAGGCTAACCAGGGTGGGGATCGATAATTAATAACTAAATTAACCAACTAGTGAGATTGGTAAGGAATTTAGGTGTTGTACAGCATCGATCTTTGAATATTTTTTTGCGTAAGAAGCGTGCAAGCTCTAATTAAAAAACATCCATAATCTGATTTCAACAAACGTATTGTCATACGAAGTGGCTCGATGAGAACAACACAATGATGTCAATGTTTGTTCAATCCAAGTCAAATTAAGTCCAGATCGAATTGTTCAGTTATTTTTGGAAGCTTGTAGTACCCAGTTGGAAGGTCAAATAAATTTCAAATTTGAGAAGGTTATAGTCAAATTGAGCATCCCGATGAGACGAATCCAACGAGCCCAAGACCACCCAATTCTGATATCGTTAAGACACTCAAATGTTTGCAATATATCGTCTGCTTGAGGTAAACTCTCTGGATCGTCTGATCGAGTAAACTTGATTCATTTCTTTTTTGCAGACGGGCTTCTCCCAACTTCTATAAATAAAGGCATACCTCATTTATGAAAGGGGAGGACCTAGTCGTTGAACAAGAGAAAGCTCAGGGTTTGGAGGAGAGGGACCTGAGGCCCTGTGTTCTACCCCGAAAGTCCAGCAAACGCTACCCGCTTCTACAACAGCCGACCACAGTTGACCACCGCTTGTCGGTCGTCATCAACCACTGTTTGCCTCCCCTCACTCGTTGTAGCAAAGCCCCTTGAAGGATCATGATGTGTGTTATAGAATCTCTGTGTACGTTGCAAAGTAAAGAGAGACTCTACGGAACAGTGCAACGACGCACCCTGTAGACGGTGGTAATGATGCACACTGAAGACGATGTAATGATGAATTTGGAAAATGATGCAACAATGTACCATGTATATTGTGTAATGACGCGTCTCACATACGATGTAATAACATATCTTAAAAATTGTGCCATTATGTATCTCTAAGACGATGTAACGACACGCCTTGCAATGATTGCTTACAACCATCCTACACAAAATATGACGTCCTTCTCCAAACTTCTAAAGTTCTCTATTTACAGCTTCCTTCTATGGCTTAGGTAGCCAACTATGAACTACGCGACTCATAGCTCATGCAGCTCCAAACTCCGGCCTCAACGACCTACAAACGTTATCTCAGCTTATGCAACTCTCAACTCTGACCTCTGTAGCCTACAAACATTATCTCAACTCGTGCGACTCTCAACTCCAACCTTTATAGCCTAAGAACGTCATCTCATTTCATGCGGCTCCTAACTTCGGCTAATGCTGCTTGCACACATTACCTCAACCCATACAACTCCTAACTCTAGCATATGCGGCCTACAAATGTTATCTATGGTTTTGCAGCTTCCAATTCCGGCTTCTACAGCCTATGGAAGTTATCTCAACTCATGTGACACCCAACTCTAGTCTCTATAGGCTACGAATATTATCTCAGCTCATGCGAAGTTCAACTTTTACCTATTTGTCCTACAGATATTATCTCAGCTCATACAACTCGCAACCCCCCCTGTAGCCTATTGACATTAGCTCAACACATGCAGCTCTCAAATTCGATCTCTATGACCTACATGTGTTATCACAACTAATGCAACTCCTAACTGAGGCATCTGTTGCCTATAGACACTATCACACCACATGCGGCTCCTAATTTTGACCTCTGCAACTTATGTTTGTTATTCCATACGACCACTACAGTTTATTTGACCAATTATGGCTTACGTGGATCACAACTCCTGCTGCTCTTTTCTTCGGTCTCTATGTTCAACCGACACTTCTAAATTTATATAATACCACATATTGCTATATTTTTAAATATTTAACACCTAAAATTTGATAATTACATTTATAACACCTTAATCTTATAATTCTGTATAAGAAGAGGTACTTGCACTTGTAATAGCATTTTCTTTTTTTTTTTTTTTTGGTTTGCAGCGTGTTAAAACTCAGCACAATAAAAATTTGGAAAAGCATTTTCTTTTTTACAAAAACACCACGCAATTCTTATGTATTTACATACACTCAATGTTTTTATATTTACACACACAATATATTGGTGTCATAAAATTATGGTTGACAATGTCTATTTCAATTTTAAATATATAAAATGGTGATATTGTTGATGCGTTCTTGAAAATTTGTGGTATATATGTAAATAATGAATGTTTGGTGGTTAGAAATGTAAATACATAAGAATTGTGTGGTTTGTATGTAAATGCCTACGTTGTAAATAAAAAAAGGCCCGTCTATAAGGCCCAATCCAAACGTATGATTTGTTATTGAATAAGAATACCTGGGCCGGCTATTTTAGGAAGATTTACATATATTCCTCTCATGTCCTATATATTTAGATATCTAACCCCTAAAATTTAATTTTTGTTTTACATGCTACAATACCTATGCATGGAAATGGTTATTACACTTTTTAAAGTTAGGGGATGCTTTTAAGCGATACAAAAAATGGTAAAATGTTTTACATGCTACAATACCTATGCATGGAAATGGGTATTGCACTTTTGAAAGTTAGGGAATTCTTTTAAGCGATAAAAAAAAATGGTAAAAATTAATATTTGGGTGGTAGATATGTAAATACATAAAAATTGGTTGGTATGTCTGTTAATGCCCCAACAATTTAATGGGATTTCCTACGAAACAACATAAAAGTGATCATTTCGGCGAACAATAGTAAGCAAACATGAGAAAACAATGATTTTAACTTAAAATATTAGTTCTTTTCGAATATATTGAATTAACAATAATTGATCAATTTGCGAATATTATTAACACAAACTTGTGGGTGCCCCGGTCATTATAGAAAAGTGGAATTTACATACGCTAGTAAAAATTGAAGTTTAGGTGTGAGGTGAGTAAATACATTATTATGTAAATATTCCGATAAAATAATGTTCTTAAAACATATTTGAATTTAATGAGCCATTGTGAGACTAATTTAACAAGCCTTAGATTACTTAATTTTGAGACTGTTAAGGCACTCAAATATTCGTAGAATGTCGTCCGATCAATGGATTCTCGTTGGTTTATTTGATGGTGTGACCATGATTCTTATTTTATTTATTGGAAAAAATATTACGTCAGTAATACGCACGTAGAGTAATGTGCGTAGCCAATGAAATCACGTCACGACACCCCGCACGACAGAGGAAAAAAAACGGCGCAGTACCATGGGGAATATTCCCTTCCGTGTTATTCATGTGTTATTGTGTGTTATTCATGTGTTATTGTGTCCCGGGAATATTCCTGGTGTTATAAAATACAATAACACATCAATAATATATGAATAGCACATCAATAACACGCAATAACACATGAATAACACGGGGGAGAATATTCCTCCGTGTTACTGCGCAATTTTTTTCTCTATCGAGAATATTCCCCGTGTTGTTCAAGTGTTATTGTGTGCTATTCATGTGTTATTGTGACCTGAGAATATTCTTGGTGCTATAATTACACAATAACAAATTAATAACACATGAATAACAAGCAATAACACATGAATAACACAAGGGGGAATACTCCCCGTGTTACAGCGCCGTTTTTTTTTTCTCTGTCGCGCAAGGTGTTGTGGCGTGATTTCATTGGCTACGCACGTTAATTCTAAGTGCGTAGCACTGATGTAATATTTTTTCTATTTATTGAGAGGCCTTTGATAGATTCTATAAATAAATTTCTATCTCTTTTATGAAAAGGAACTCATTCGAATGCGGTGCAGACTTTTAAAGCAAGAGTCCCTCACCAACAAAATAGGGAATTATTATTATTATTACTATTATTATTATATATATA